CCAAAGACTTCTTCGTGGAAAATACCTTTCTTCAACAACACAAAAGTGACTACACACATGGATCTCTCCAGGTGGAATACACAGAAATCAAATAGGCTACGTCTGTGGGAAGACGACGGAGAAGATCAATATTAGCAGCTAAATCAGTCCAGGGACTGACTGTGGAACAAACCATCAATTGCTCAGATGTAAGTTCAACTTGAAGGTGAAGAAAACAAGTCCATGAGAGCCAAAACATGACCCTGAGTCTCTTATACCTTCACGCCAAGAACATCTCAAGAGCAGATCTGATATCTTGAAGACCCGAGAGCTGTGGGATGAAATCAAGAACACCATCCATGAAGAGATCCACAGATCATTGAAAAGACGGGAAAGACAGATCAGAACACCACGAATGGCAGAGGAGATTCTGAAACTTGCTCTTAAGCACAGAGTAGCTAAGGCATGTGGAAGAAATGATGAAGTCAAAGAGCTGAGTAGAAAATCTAGGGCAGCTCAAGAAAACCAAGTCAAATATTATAATGAAATGTGCAAAGATCTAGTTGCAATAATGAAAGCTTCTATGGGCCAAATATTGGATGATGCAGGAAGTATCAAAAGAAGATAGAAAGAATATACAGAGTCTACTGTACCAAAAAGCACAAGTCGACATCCAACCATTTCAAGAGACAGCATATGAGCAAGGAGCAAGGGTAGGAGAGGAAGAAGTTCAAGCTGTACTGAAAGTATTAGCCAAAAACAAGGCTCCAGGAATTGATGGAATACCAATTGAAATATGTCAACAAGCGGATGAAACCCTGGTCTATGCCAGGAAATTTCGAAGATAACTAGTTGGCCCACTGACTGGCAGAGATCCATATTTGTACCCATTCCAAAGAGAGGTGACCCAACAGAATGCTCACATTACAGAACAGTATCATTAATATCACATGCACGTAAAATGTTGCTGAAGATCATCCAACAACAGTCACAGCAGTTGCAGGTTGCTGCCAGGGGTTCAGGCTGGATTCAGAAGAGGATGTGGAACATGGGATATCATTGGCTGAAAGCAGAGACTATCAGAAAGATGTTTACTTAAGTTTTATTGTCCATACTAAGGCATTTGATGGTGTGTACCATAACAAACTGCATAGCTTTGAGAAGAATGGGAATCTCGGGACACTACCTTGTGCTCATGAGGAGCCTGTACACAGAACAAGAGGCAGTTGTGCAAGAAGAACAGGGGCACTGGGCATGGTTTAACATCAGGAAAGGTGTGCATCTGTATGCTGAGCAAATCATCCGAGAAGCCAGGTTATATGAAGAAGAATGTGGTCTCAGGTTTGAAGGAAGGTTTATTAACAACCCGTGATATGCAGATGACACGACCTTTCTTGCTGACCATGAGGAGGGCTTGAAGCTCCTGCTAAGGAAGATCAAGGAGGGCAGCCTTCAAGATGCATTACACTTCAATGTAAAGAAAACAAAAATCCTCACAACGGGACCAATAGGAAACATCATGACTGACAGAGGGGCAAAAAACTTGAAGCTGTGAAGGGTTTCTTCTTGCTTGGATCCACAATCAATGCTCATGGAAGCAGCAGGCAAGATGGCAAACAAGGCAATGAACTGGGTGAATCTGCTGCTTCTTCAAGTGCCGAAAAGCTGGGAGGTTCCTTTGAGCAGGAAGGTGAGCCGGACTCGAGGCATGTTCTTCTCAATCACCTGACATGCATGTGAGCGCTGTGTTTTGAAGAAGGAAGACTGAAGGATGAGCGCATTTGAATTATACTGTTGGTACAGAATATTGAAAGTACCAGGGACTGCCAACAGAACAAAACAACAAATCTGTTTTGGAAGAAGTACAGCTAGAATTCTCCTTAGCGGCAAAGACGG